CACCTCAGGAAATTCTTAAATACACTCACATTTAGAGCATTACCTGAAACTGTACCTCTAAAACTTTTTTTTTTGACTACGACTCATATCAAGAAACACATTTTTACTAAGATCTTATGGATATATACATAAAATAAATTTTCACAGAACAATATTTACCCCAACTATATCTACCAATTCTGATATTTTCTATTTCTATTCTTTTCCATTCCTTGCTTTAAAAAAAAAAAAAGTCATTACCCCACAAATTTAATTTCATGATCTACTGTTTGAAAAACCTAGAAGACAAAAGTTCATACTATTCTGCCTAGCACTGAAGGTTCTTCCTAAGTTGGCCTAAATCTACCCCACAAGTCTTACAACCTTCTATTCTCCCTCATGTATTTTATATCCTGTGAAAACAAGTAACTCATCTTGAACTTTTGTTCCCCTTTCCTGCAGTAACCTCCCTTCTCTTCTACTTCCACATCCAAATCCTACCTAACTTTGAAGTTTGGCTCACTTGAGTTTTCTTTCATATTCACAGCAGTGACCATCTACATTACTAACATATCTCATTACATGCACAGCTGGTTTTCCCTCCTGTAGATGAGACATGTAAAAATACATACAGCACACGTGTGGGGCTATGGCACGTATTTATAATAATAAGCTTCATGGAGAATAATAATAGGAAACATAAATTAAAACGTTTTCCCAACTTATTTCCCAGTCTGGTAATCTGAAGTATATAAAAATACCCCAACACATAAACTCATGCAAATGCAAATTCAACAATGAAAAATTTCTATTAGGTCTAAACCATCCAGGAAAATTTTCTAATCTTTAGTTTTAGAATATTTCATGTTTCCAAATACACTCATAAAATAGATTTTAAATTAACTCCACTTACATTTAAAAAAAAAACAAAAAACCTAGTGATTTTAAATTGATTATAGACTAATAGGGGTAAAAATGACCAAGTTTTCAATATTCACAGCCAATGACACACAAAAAAATTCTTGAGCTTTTTAGTGAACCAAAATTCCAAAAGCCCGAGTTTACAATGGAAACAGCAAAGGCTTTTAAATCATAAAAAATTAGGTTCAAATCTTAGTTCTCTGTATTTTACTGTGCCTTTCGTGAATTACCTTCCTCATCTGTAAACTGGGAATATTACCTGTGTGTTGTGAAGGAAAAAAAGAGATGAGATTTATGAAGCACCTTGCACTATGTCAGATCTCAACAGAAGCCCCAATCATTCTTTTTCTCTTATGCATTATTTGCTGAAGGCAATTAAGAAATTTTGGTCATCTCCTCTTTCTTCCAGTAATTAACAAAAACAAAGAAAAAAGGTGAGCAAGAAGTAGAAAAATGTTGCTCCAGCTGATCTTCTTTAAAGAAAGAAAAAAAAAACCTCTGATAATATCATTTCAAAGTCAAATAAGTGACTCCGTTAGTTAAGCCTTGGATTTTTACCTGCAAATTCATTGAAATGATTTCCAATATCATATGCCAGGTAGTTGTATCCAGAATATTCATAATCAATGAACTGTACATCACCTATGTGAGACACAAAAACAAAGACATTAAGAAATCACATACAAGATCAGAAAATCCCTATGCTATTTGTAATTAAATAGCTTCCAATATTTTGTCTCATTGTACGTGCTTGGTTACATGCACTTCTGAGACAATGCAGGTAAGGCTGTGAATTTTATGGCAATGAGCTTTACAAAATTCAAATCATTTCCCTTGATCAACAGCTTCTTTGTGAACACTAATGTCCACTTTATTAAAGAAAAATGAAGGTACAGTCATTCTCTAAGTATGAACAAAAGCAAAATATGTCTCTCACCACAAGGGGGCATCAGTTACTTAAAAATGTAAGCATAATTAGAAATGAAAACTGAAATTGTTAATAATCTATGTAATTTTAACAAAAACCTAATCTATAATACTCTAACAGTAAACTGACAAGCTTATCTACATGTGGAAATCAAATAAAAACTTTCAGAGACCTGAATTCTATAAATCTTGCAGTAATGCTATAATACTACTTGCTGATCAACTTAATAATACCACTAATTTAAGAAGTTAGCTGCTATCATTTTTACATTTTCCTAGAATGCTCCATAACTAAAATTTCCATATCTGAGTAGCATTAAGGTAATGGTTTTATCTTTTAAAAACCGCAAAGGTATGGTTTCTTTTAACATTTATAAATACAAGAAATGTTTACATAAGCTAAACAGATTCCTATTCTAAATTATTGCTACATATACATATATGTCATTATAATTCTCCAAAGATAATCCTGTTCTCCCTATCCAAGGGACATACTCTTACTCAGGAACTTTTAATTTTTGAGTACTGAATATTATAAAGGGTTTGGCTCAACAAAGATATAGTCTTACATAGACAAAAGTAAGAAAAACCAGAGAAAAAAGAGAAACAGAAGTTTAAAAAAAAAATCAACGTGAGTCACTGTCTACACCAGGGATCACAAACTCAAAGGCTTACAGGGGCATGGAGTTAAAAACAGATACATGAACTGAGATGGCTGTAAGAACAGTTTCTCAACTGCCTGTATTGAAAAAATGTGTAACAACCTGTATAGTTAACACTAA